TGTAAACAATTTTTATATTTACAGGTGTAATACGCTTATTACTTTAATCGAGAGAGAAAATCAAGAGTTGGAAGAGAAGGAAAGAGCAGAAAAGAAAAAGAAGAGTGGAAATGCCAATCAGAACACTCCTGGAGGCAATGCAACTGGAAAAGGCACTAATGCCGGAAAGCGAAAGGCGGATAACACGCCTGACACCGCACAAAAACAAAAGAAGAAAAAAAAGTGAAATCTTCAAACCGTTTTTGTGGATCCCACCAGATGAACAAATAAAAAAATTAATAGCGCTTCAAAAATATTTGATTATGTAGGCTGTTTGTTGTTATTTCTAAAACCAATCCCGTAATTTATGCAGCAGTATTTACTTTGTATTTATTATTGTATGTTTGATTCGCGTGATATCTCTCTAAACCCTTATCACTGTTCGTTTTTAGTATTTAATTTGACATTTACATTCCCAAATCATTTTTATATTAATATGATTAAAATGTAAGTTGCATTAAAAAACAATCATGTCGATACTTCGTAAGAGATTTGTTGCATAATACATTTTTTTTTGCTGATCGTGATATTTTAGCAGTATAGGTATAGGTAATATTTATGTTGGAAATTTTGCAGTCGTTTCTTACCTTTCAATAAAGTGACACTGAATCAGTATTAATGTTTTGCGTTTTGCAATTATTACTTACTCTACGTTTATCCCTGTAAAAAGCGATATTTTGACCATACGGAGCCATGGGGCCAGACAGGTTGTGTAATGTATACGTATAGGATACGAGCCAAAACCTGAACTTCCGCGGAATTCTCGCGCATACTCGACAATTCTCGCGCATTCGCAGATTCCCTAAGAAGAATGAGTAAGAATTCTAGGGGTTGCTCTTTGTAAATATACGTTTGAATACATGTAGGTATCATTACAATATTTAATTTAAACATCTTAGATCGAGACTACCTGCAAGAACTAATCTCGTTTGACAAAAATCCGTAGTAATGATCCATCATTATCATTACGGGTTACGGGATTACGGATGTATCATGATTTTTGTCATCCAAGTAAGTGGAAGCTGTATAATAACCTTTAGTATAAAGTTTTTGTTTCACTATAGTTTTAAACCTTAGAATAATAACGCATAGAAACCTAGTCCGCCCACGCTAAGTGAGGCAAATTGAAGCGCTCCCAATGGACCTACACGAGCGGTCGGGCGTTCAGTGCTCAAGGTCAACTTGCACCGCGAACAGCTCCAGGATTTTAGCTAAAAATGACGAAATGTGCGGTAAATGAGTGCAAAAATACGTCAGACAAACATAAAATGGATACTAGCATCATATTCCACAAGGAAGTAACGTGTTTCAACTTGTATTTTTATATAAAAATTCACTAAAACCGAAAATTAATTTCGTTGCAACTAGACACGAAAATGTTGCAAAGTAACGTATTTATTTCTCCCAATTTTGCTATTCTGTTTCAAAAAAATTATATTACGTAATTTGTTGAGAATAGGCAATATCGCGATGGCTGCAGATTTTTTTTTTATTCTAATGTAAGTGTGACTCCATTTCTGCAAGTTAAATGCGTACAAATGTTGTTTACAAAGAGCAACCCCTAGAGTTTCTTGCTCATACTTCTCGGGGGAATCTGCCTTACGAATGAGCGGTAGAGTTTAACCAATGTGACGATTTCTAGTGTAATAATGCTTACCTATGCAATAAAGATTATTTTGATTTTGATTCTGGGTATCGTTTACGGGGTATATGGATGTGCTCATTAAGAATATAGAACTTATTTCTAAATCCAAGGTGGCGGCCATGATTAAAAAAAAATGCAATATGGGTATCCTTTTCGAGGTATTTGGGGATGCTCATTATGGAATATGGCACTCATCTCTAAATCCAAGATGGCGGGCGCGGTTTTTCGAATAATAGCAAGTTGGGTATCGTTTTCGAGATATTTGGGGTTGTTCATTACGAATATAGCACTTATTTCTAAATCCAAGATGGCGGACACGATTTTTCAAAAAATGCTATCTGGGCATCCTTTTCGAGGTATTTGGGGATGCTCAATACAAATATGACACTCATTTCTAAATCCAAGATGGGGGGTAAGATTTTTCGAGTAATTGCATGTTGGGTATCGTTTTCGAGATATTATTTGGTGATGTTCAATACGAATATGGCACTCATTTCTAAATCCAAGATGGCAGACACGATAGTTCAAACAAAAGCAATGTTCGTAATGAGCACCCCCAAATACCTCGAAAACGATACCCAACATGCTATTATTTGAAAAATCGTGCCCGCTATCTTGGATTTACAAATAGTGCCATATTTGTAATGAGCACCCCCAAATACCTTGAAAATAATACCCATATTGCATTTATTTGAAAACTCGTGTCCGCCATCTTGGATTTAGAAATAAATGCTATATTTGTAATGAGCACCCGCTATTACCTTAAAACGATACCCAACTTGCCATTATTCGAAAAATCGTGCTCGCCATCTTGGATTTGAAATGAGTGCCATATTCGTAATGAGCACCTCGAATACCTCGAAAATGATTCCCATATTGCATTTATTTGAAAAGTCGTGTCCGTCATCGTGTATTCAGATATAAATGCCATTTCCTTAAGGATTACCAAAAATATTTTTTTTTAAATTCTTACTTACTTATCACTTGACATTGTCGATCGACAGTAACGATCGACAAAACCGAGCATATCTGTAGGCACCTGATCGACAAAATCGAGCAAATCTGTAGGCACCTGATCGACAATGTCGGGCAAATCTGTAGGCACCTTTAACTTAATGATGAGTTAAGCAAGATACAATTTCCCCACTTTTGAGGGAAATGTTATTCCATGGCATCATTATTTGTATATTTGTGTGCGTGCCGACGAGGGTAGATACAAGTTGCTTACGCCTACATGAATTTGGTTTTTGCCTCACATTTGACAGTTCGTTTGATATGAAACTATCATTCTATGCGTTATTATTCTAAGTTTTAAACCAAGTAAATATCAAAATCTTTAGAAGCGTATACATTGTCCCATAAAAGAATTTAGTCTATAAGAAGAAGACTGTCAAGAACAGTTAGTTTATTTTTATTCCTCGTATTAATGATATGCCTGTCACTATTATTCATAATTAAAAAAAATTGGCAAATAACACTTTCGTAGAACTCGTACTGCGCCGTTAATGTAAGAATGTAAATCTCTTTAAAGTTATCTCTTATGGCATTCATCAACACGTCCGCTCAGCGCCGCGCGAGCGCCGTCTGACCACCGTCTGACTGGCGGCCCGCGGGCGCGCGAAGTATTTACGTGAAAGCGAGAGCGAGAGGCATATATATAGGCTCTCTCTCCAACTTATGTTTGGGGTGTACGTAATATTTTATAAATTTTGTATAAAGGTAGGGGCTGATTTCGAAATAAATGTTAATTGCGAGCTAGACATCGAGCATTTCACTTCTCCAACTAAAACACTAAAACAAAAATATCGCTAAAAAGGGACCTACAATTGAACCTTGAGGGACGCCCATGCTAATTGCAGACCTTGATGACCGCGCACCATTGACTCGACTCTCTGTACCCTCCCACCCAAATATGATTTAAGAAGGTCGAGGTCACGGCCGGCCACACCTTGAAAGCGAAGTTTTCCGACCAGAGTGCCATGGTGCACACAATTAAAAACCTTGGAAAGTCACAGAATACACCAATAGCTTCATGCGAATCTTCCCACGAATCAAATGTATGTTTATCAACTCAACATCAGTGTAACCAAATTGTTTAAGATACATAAAATTATTAATTTAATAATAAAAAAAATGTAATATTCTACATTTTTTTTAATATTATTTTTTCTAATATTTTATCGAGTATTGGTAGTACTGAAATAGGTCTGAAATTGGTGGAGTCCGAATTACTACCAGATATAAGAATTGGATTAATTTTGCTTTGCTTCATGAGGTCAGGAAGCACACCCTCATCAACACATTTGTTAAAAACACAACCTAAGTAAGGTGCAACACAATCAACTACAGAATTAATACATAGGTACTGAGCAAATTCGAAGTTAAGCAAAGATTGGTCACATGGTTATTAATATTATCCCTATGAAAAGACTGAATAGTCGCCATTAAAACTGTCTGGTGTGTAGTTAAATATTATTATTATACACAAATACATATTTTGTTACTTTTTCTTGTACTGTTGTATAGTATAATCCTATTGCAAGCACGTTCGGCGACTGGTGCGTCTAGCCTGTTCCCATATCAAGACTTATCTGTCCTGTGTCGTGGAAGTTTATATTATCGTTGAACGACTGTCGCTTCTAGATAGAAGACTAGAAGTTAGTGGGAACAGCTAGAATCTAGTGACTAGATCGTAACGTCAATTTATCGGTTCACGGCAGCTGTCTTGTAGTTTGCACAACAGAAACGTTTGAAGCTGCGATTATCTGTCGTCACATTTTTATCGTGACGTTTTTTTATCATCAGACGACTGTCATTCTAGCACTTCCCATTGCCACGACAGTCGGTGGTCGTAACGTCAAAAGTCGTGAATGACAGTTAATAGTGTTGTATTATACATAAACAATTTAATAATAAATAAATAATAATAAATTTTAAATTTCATTTAAATATACAATACACAACACTTTAAACTCCACCACTATCTGTCGTCATAATGGAGACGCGCGCTTACTGCCTCTGTGATCGAACGGTTACCATGCTGGAATGCCACGCAGAGGTCCCGGGTTCGATTCCCAGACCGGGAGAAATATTTGTACGGCCTACTTTAATTTCTCTTCGTGTTTGGGTGTAATTTGTGGTTGTATATGTGTCCATGGCACCTGTGATACAGTGTTTCCTTAGTGCGGGGCTATGAGTGTGTGCGCGTTATTATTATTATTATGTTTCGTGTTCGTTTTTTGAAAATAATGCTAAGATTTACAAGCATGTTTGAGAAAAAAGCCTTTACCTATATTAGATAATTTATATATTAGAGATCAATTAAAAATCATTTTGTCCTTAAGTCAGGTACAATACAATAACATTCCTAAGTCATAACAACATACCAACAAACATTTTTATACATTTACATTACATTTAGTAAACAGACACATCTGTTTCTATGAAATCTTAAGATTTAGTAGTATTTCGAAATCACATCTTAACCACAAATATAATTCCATCTCATCACGACGAATTACTGCCCTCACCATTGTCTTGAAAGATATTAATATTAGAAGCGAATGGGGTTCCTAATCCATACAGATGACCACTTGTGCTCTCTATATTTCCATCAAAGAAAATCTGAAAATGACAAACATGATAATATAAAGATAGAATAAAGACATGGGCAGGTAATATTTAGATAACATGAATAGCGAAGCAAGTGAAATCTTACGAATAACAATACACTTACCTCTTTGATCTTGAAAAACGCCATGCCAGTTAAATGAGAGTCAGAACCAGCTTGGTGTTGGGGCCCTACTCTCCTCAGTTCTAACTGGTCAGCTACTTCTTGCAAACCACCTTTCAGATTCTTGCACAGTTTCATTAAATACTGAAAATTTTGTAATTATTATATTTTTCATTAAAGCATAAATTGTAAACAATCTTGTCTATAAAATTATAATCCTTTTTTTAAGAATCTGCCGCCGCCGCCGTTAGTTGAAAGGGTGCTAAGAAAAAGGGCGAAAAGCATAACCAGGCACCATTTTCAATACAGATTTCAAAGAAAGCACCACTGTCGGATAGTGACGAAGAAGAACTTCTTCTTTTATTGACGCTACATTACCTTTGAAATCTTTCTTCTAACTAGCAGTACAGCTCCTTGTGAGAGAGTTCGTCCAGGGAAGTACTGCCTACCTTATCTATATCTTATATTATCTATTTCTGCCGCCAAGCATATGTCTCAGGGTGACGAGCGCAGTGGCAGTGTCCCTCAGATCTTTGCGATTTAGAGATTTGAGTGGCACTGCAACTGTTATGGACAGGCGTGTAGCTTACCATCAGGCGCATTCGTCCCGTCACTTGATATAAAAAAAAAAATTTACTGTGTTTGAAATCTCTATTACGTGTACTATACGTAATATAAACGTCAATATTATTGCACTATACATATAAGTTTTTCCGTCGAATTCATGTCGAAACTTAATCAAAACACATTTAACAGTAAACCCGCTAAGGGCCCGCTCCCGGACCGCGCCCCGGCGCTACCGCTCTGTGTGGGCGGCTGCATGGAGCTTAGATATGGAAAAAAACGGCTATTTGACAATAATTAATCATACTCAGCGATTTTTTATTGTAAATTGTCAGAAAATCTGCCATTAAGCTATTTTATAGTTTTGCATACAATATGGCAATGATAGCGAATGAACATTGTGGTGTTACCAGATGTTACATTACCATACCCCGGACACTCCATACAACGGTCGAAAATTATTTACCTACTACTACATACAGCAAGGCGCTATCTGCACACGCGTAAATGTGTGCGTGAAGTGGTAGGATTACCTATCATTTTCTCGCACTATTACGTTACGCGGTCAGAACGGCAACATAGCGAAAATTCTGAAGCGAATCTGTAATCTATGATTCTATTAATAGAATCCTAATAATTATACATGTCTATTAGATATTGGGATGTAAGGGGGCACACACCATCACAGCTCTTATTGTCAACCTCACCTGCACGCGGTACATCCTGCAGTAACCGACGAGGCTCTGGCGACCGGTAGTAGGCGGTATAGCCCTTCCCCACATTGGCGCTGTCAAATCTGCTGGATACCGACGGGCAGCAGCGTCGGTAGTACAAAGGCAGCGCCCTGCGATCTCCAACCCGCATGCCCAGCGTGGAGATTATGGGCAATAACCCCCTTCATGGACGGTACAACCAATCGAAGGCCCCCAGTTCCCGGTCGCCCCGCTATTCCTGGTCACGGTAGCGGCCATGGTACCGGCGGGGTAGGGGGTGCTAAGAATCCCCGGGCTACCGCAGGCTACCAAAAACAACTGACCCTGGCTACGTTTAACGGACGAACTCTTAGGCTTGACGAACACCTTGCACAGTTGGAAGTGGAACTGGAGAACATTAGATGGCATGTTCTGGGGCTGTGTGAAGTCCGAAGAGAGGGAGAGGACACCATAACCCTAGACTCGGGCCATCTACTGTACTTCCGCGAGGGTGATCAAACATCCCAAGGTGGTATAGGATTCCTCGTCAACAGAGTCCTCTCTAACAACGTTGAAGAGATCTCCAGTGTGTCGAACAGGGTAGCGTACCTGATCCTTCGGCTATCAAAAAGGTATAGCCTGAAGATCATTCAGGCCTACGCACCGACCTCGACACATTCGGATGACGATGTAGAAGATATGTACGAGGACATATCGAAAGCCTTACACAACACCACCAAGGCTCACTTCAACGTTGTTATGGGGGACTTTAACGCTAAAGTGGGATTCCCAAATCTTGACGAATCTCGAGTCGGCCCGCATGGTTATGGAGTAAGGAATCACAGGGGGCAAACGCTAGTCAACTTCCTCGAGCACGAGGGGCTCTTCTTGATGAATTCGTTCTTCAAGAAGAAGCCTCAAAGGAAGTGGACTTGGCGAAGCCCCGACGCTGCGACTAAAAATGAGATCGATTTCATCCTGACGGACAAGAGACACATATTCAGAGATGTCTCAGTGATCAACAGGTTTAGCACCGGATCTGATCACCGACTTGTACGAGGCTCTCTGAATATCGATGTCAAACTTGAAAGAAGCCGCTTGATGAAGTCCACGCTCCGTCCTAATCCACTCCAGATCATGGCGGGCTCCGAGAAGTTCCATGAACTTCTCGAAGCGAGATTCGTCGAGCTGGAACCCACTGAGGACGTTGACGAGGCCCTACAAAGCGTGGTTGGGACGCTGAGAAGCGAGGGCATCAAATTCTGTCAATTGCAGCGTACGGGAAAGAAGTCTAAACTCTCGGATGGGACTCTGCGACTTATGACGAAAAGACGCGATGACATCCAGGCCACTTCGTCAGAGAGGTCATACCTAAACAAGCAGATTGCGAAGATGGTACGGCGTGACCTTCGGAGCTCCAATACACGCCTCATTGAGGAGGCGATAGAGCGAAACCGAGGGTCCAAAGTATTCACTCAGCAGCTTGGAAGGAGCCACCTGACGAAGCTTACAACGCACGATGGCCTAACCGTTACGTCAAAGCCGCAGATACTCGCCGAGATAGAGGACTTCTATGGCCGTTTGTACGCTGTAAATGCTCCTCGGGTCCAGCGTGACAATCACGATTTGAGAGCCACCTTGACGCGCCACTATACCGACGACCTGCCAGAAATCAGTCAAGACGAGATCGTGTTGGCTCTAAAACAGCTTAAAAATGGAAAAGCCCCCGGTGAAGACGGAGTTACTTCAGAGCTTTTGAAGTCTGGAGGAGTTCCTATTATCCAGGAACTTCAGAAGCTCTTTAACTTGGTCATTCACTGCGGGAGAACTCCACGGGCGTGGAACAGGAGTATTGTAGTTCTCTTCTTTAAAAAGGGAGATAAAACTCTACTGAAAAACTACCGACCCATCTCACTTCTGAGTCACGTCTACAAGCTGTTTTCTAGAGTCATCACGAATCGCCTCGCAAGAAGACTCGACGAGTTTCAGCCACCGGAACAGGCCGGGTTTCGGGGAGGATATGGCACCATAGACCACATACACACAGTGAGGCAGATTATACAGAAGTCCGAAGAGTATAATCGGCCCCTGTGTTTAGCTTTCGTGGGCTATGAGAAGGCCTTTGACTCTGTCGAAACCTGGGCTGTCCTGGAATCCTTACAGCGATGCCAAGTGGACTATCGTTATATACAAGTGTTGAGATGTCTTTACGATGCTGCTACCATGAGTGTCCAAGTACAGGACCAGCAGTCTGAACCTATCCAATTACGCAGAGGGGTGAGACAGGGGGATGTCATATCCCCGAAACTGTTCACCGCTGCATTGGAGGATATGTTTAAGACGCTGGACTGGAAAAGGATGGGCATTAACATAAACGGCGAGTATATCTCACACTTGCGATTTGCAGATGACATAGTCCTAATGGCAGAATCGCTGGAGGAACTGGATCAGATGCTGAACAGCCTAGCATCCGCCTCGCGGCGGATTGGTCTCGGCATGAACTTTGATAAAACCAAAGTCATGATCAATGACCACATTGATCCGAGACCCATCTGCGTAAATGGCCACCTTCTTGAAGTTGTTTCCGAATACACTTACCTCGGGCAGATTCTGCAGTTAGGTAGAAATAGCTTCGAGAAGGAGGCCAGGAGGAGGATTCAGCTTGGCTGGGCAGCGTTTGGGAAGCTACGTCGAGTCTTTTCGTCGCCCATCCCGCAGAGCTTGAAAACAAAGGTTTTCAACCAGTGCGTCCTACCAGTTCTAACGTACGGAGCTGAGTCGTGGACACTCACGATACGGCTAGTCCACCAGTTTAGTCGCTCAGCGAGCTATGGAACGAGCTATGCTCGGAGTTTCTCTGAAAGATAAACTCCGTAATGAGGTTATCAGACAGAGAACCAAAGTGATCGACATAGCTCTTCGGATAAGCAAGCTGAAGTGGCAGTGGGCTGGACATATCTGCCGAAGAACCGACAACCGCTGGGGTAAACGAGTTCTTGAGTGGAGACCACGACTTGGCAAACGTAGTGTGGGACGCCCTCCAGCCAGATGGAGTGACGATCTGCGGAAGATTGCTGGCAGGAAATGGATGCGTCAAGCCGAGAACAGGGCGAAATGGCGTGCATTAGGGGAGGCCTATGTCCAGCAGTGGACTGCAATAGGCTGATGATGATTAGATATTTATATCGATATATTATTATATTTTTCATTAATTCACTAACTAGAGTAATATTGAAGATATATTTAAAAAATATATTAAAAGAACTTAAAATGTTATATTTCGGACATGTACTTTTAAGTAACGTAACCAACGTATTTGAAATAGCTTGTCCAAGTTTAGTTAATAATTAGATAATATATTCACTACCTACGTAATATTTATCGGCAATACGAATAGAAAATTGTCGAAGTCATAGCGTCTCATTATATTGATATAATAAATCTGTATTGTTTATACATACATAACTGCCTCCGTGGCCGAACGGTTACCATGCCGGACTGCCACGCAGAGGTCCCAGGTTCGATTCCCGGGCCGGGCGAAATATTTGTATGACCTACATTTATTTCTCTCGTGAGTTTGGGTGTAATTTGTGGTTGTCTATGTGTGTGTCCATGGCACCCGCGACACAGGGTTTCCCTAGTGCGGGGCTATGTTGAGTGTGTGCGTTATTATTATTATTATTATTATTATTACATATATTAATCTGCAGTAAATAAATGAAGAAAACAAGAACTGAGTGAGTCAGACATAAATTTTTTTTACTTACTTCGGTTCATCTTTCGGAAAATGATGATAAACAGCCGCAAACAGCACAATTCACGACCATTATAAATAGTAACGTAAAATTACGTTTTATATTAACGTACTAGTTTCGTAATGAATAAATGAAAACTATATTCAAATATCAAAGCCGTCTTCCGGCATTGTGTCTGTTCTCTTATTCTTTATTCTCTGACATTACTTACATTTTACGTTACTTTTGATCTTCTCGCTTAATACGCAAGTCATTTTTGTTTTTAAGGCAATTTTCGTAAATTTGACGCAATCCAACTAGTCATATTTGTTATTGAAAATCCAAAATAGTTTACTATTACTTAACTTATTTTTAACGTTAGAATTTTTAATATAAAAAAAAACAACTTGTAAAATGTAAATTTTGCAGACTAAAATTGTAACTCGTAATTTTCGACACAATGGCCCTGGCAACACCACGGCAAAGTACAGTCGGAAATTCATTACTGTTATCATGCGTATGAGACTTGCTCACTGTTTGGTTCAGACTCATCTGAATAGAATTAAAAACATATACTACAACACACAAAATGTCCCCACTGCACTGAAGAAGAAGCAGATTTGCAGCATATTATTTTCAACTGCTCTAACTTCCTACCAACAATCTCTTATTTTGAAAGACAAGTGACAGTAAAGACGGTTGTGTGCGAAACCAAGTCAGTGCTCCTCGTCGCCTTCATTTAGCCAATAATGATGATTTTTTTATCTATTAAATGATTAATTATTTTTTTATTCCCATGTGTAAGTTCATTGCGAGTAAGGTAGAAAAAAAATTAAAATTCATCTTATTTATAACATGTCATTTGTGTAAATAATCGCTTATTTTAATTTGTTCTAAGCCTTTGTCTTTTTTATTTTGTTATGGTTATAATGTTTTCGGCTGTAGGACTTTGTGTCTAGGTCATGCAATAAATAAAAAAAAAGTTGTTTAACCTGTTATTTGCGAATTTTGCGATTCAAACGTGGATAATGGATGGCTATCTACTACATTTTTCCTAATCACACAGTATACGTAACTCATTTTTTTAAGTGTCACATGCGCCCTGTCAAATAATGGCGGCAGAAATTATTACTATAGTTGTGTCTACTAAAATATATAAAAACTTACTTTTACATCATAAACAGTAGGAAAATATAGCCTCAAGCTTTCAAAGAAATCATTCTCTTCCTGTGGCAGGTTCTGATCTGTGAGAAGCTTGAGCAGGTAGCCAAAATCATAGCCCGAGTGAAAGCTTAACCAATTAATGTTGTCCATTAGTACTATGCCTACAAACACACAAAATTAAAAATCTGACAATCACTACAGCAAAATAATATTAAAAATTACCATAATTATAGTCATTTTGCAAGCCCTTTTACTTGCCTGAACTGCGTCTATGGCCAAACGGTTATCCTGCCGGACTGCATGCAGAGGTCCCGGGCCGAGAGAAATATTTGTATACTACATGTATTTCTCTTGCGAGTTTGGGTGTGATTTGTGGTTGTCTATGTGTATGTCCATGGCACGTGCGATAGAGGGTTTCCCTAGTGCGGGGCTGTGCGTGTGTGTGTGTATTACTTGAATGAAAATGTATTTTTTGCCCATTATGCAAAATGATAGTTTTTTAAGATAATTAAGTTAAATTTCTTTTTTCTCTAGTATCTTGTAGAATATAAAAATTTACAGACATTAAAATTCAGGCTAAGAAACCTTAGTCCCAGTAACTTGACTTATAGTGCAATAATATTATAGTATTTATCTATAATACTGTTTCTACCTGAAGACATAAGCAGCTCGGCAAACTCTAACGGCTCAATGCCATGCTCTTCATGTTCCCTGAATTGAAGCCCCGAATTTTGCAGCAAGTCAATGGAGTCTTGAGCATACATGTCTTCCCTGGAACAAATCTATTCGTTTTTATCTTCTTAAGTGGCAAACCAAATTTAATTAATAGTAAATACTAACTGCAAGTTAAACTTGAAGTTGAATTGCCAAGTAGTACATCCAGGTGGTGTCTTTCCACTTTCATCCATGAAGGTCAGACCCAGTTGGATAATTCTCAACAGATCTACATTGCACCTACAAAAATAAAATTATCAAATTATTTTAATCAAATCTGAAGATAAATTTGTTAGGAAATGAGAACAGTAAATTTAAATACCTGAGCAGTTGGTACTGGTAGTCTGCAGTGGATCGAAACTCGCCAATGGGCCTAGCCACTACCCCAGGAAATTCTGTGTCCATTGCTACCCAGTGATATTTTTGGACAACCTAAAAGAAGAAATATGCTGCCCTCGGAACGCAAAAAGGCACAACTGCTGTATAAAGTATGCATGGTTGTGCCTTTCTTCGTTATGAGGGCAGTATAGAAACCAAATGGAATAATACTTGATGGGAGTGAATGTTTAATCTAAATTTTAAGTATACAATACAGGGTTATTGTAAAATACTAACAACCTCCCAGGACTATACTGCTAAGATCACAAACAACTTTTGTTCCATAACTTTTTACAAAACTTAATAAATTTACCAAAAATAAATTTTGTTCTATCTACTTCAATTAGATTTACACATCTAACACTCATCATCATGTAACACTTAGATTTACACAGTTTGTTTTAAGTTAATCTTATACATTATCATACCTGTCTTATAACATGAAATTCTTCATGAAGGTTGTGATTCCATACATTTTTTATGGTGCAGTCTTCTTTAACAGCGCTCATTGTTAGTGTTCCAAAGCTCGCCGCTGGCATCTGACAATTATTATAGCATGAATTGTAACTAGAAAAGAGTTGAGTTTTGTTTGTAAATGTGTGAGCGATTTACCTTGTGCTGGTCGTTACCCTTAAACTCGTTGAAATAGACTGTTAGGTAACTCCTATTATTGCCCTAGTGTTCGATTATTAATGTGGGTTAAATTAGCGAGAACACTACTTTGTAACGACAACCGTAAATACAAAAATTGTAAGATATGAGACAAATATTTATTTTCAGATTTTTGACAGAATCAGAAACCCAACATTAACAAGAAATAATGAATGAATGAAAAGAACGAATGGAATTATTGATCTATTAGAAGTTCCGTTTCTTCTAGTATAGTAACTGGGATGGCTATTTCTATATAAATCATCCTTAACAATGATCTTAATTGGATTTTTTACTGGTATACATTAAAGTGTTACGAAACAAGAATTCTAATCTCTACTGGTTGTATTTTTATGTTTAAAAAGGAACATACGCCGATTACAGGCGTGGTGAGCCATGGACATCTCATGAAGACTCTTCAAATGGCCATGGCTCACCACGCTGACTCGTAGTTTATTACTTTACACAAATCCTACGATTTCTGCTTTAATTTTTTTGTATTCAAATATAGGGTATTTTGTAGGGGTTTTTTGTATTCAAATATATAATATATATATATATATATAATACTTAATAAAAGTAGAACACGACATATCTGCTAAATGTTTATTTATGTATCTTTCTTAGGCTGAATAGTAAAAAACATTACTATCAAACTATTCTTATCACATAAGAAAGATATAAAATAAATTTATAAAATCTTAACAAAAAATAATTACTTAAAACTAGATGGTGTAAAATACATGTACATATTTAAATCATCAATCATTGAAATAATAAATTATTCTAGTCAAAATTACAAGCGATTGGTATAATGGTTATCAAAAAGTGAGTAGATTTCATAATTGCAATAACATAATTCAATTGTTTCATTTTCATTCTGGGATCCTAAATCGTTTTCATAATATTATATGTATATTTATCTGGACTTTCACATAGTGTAACAGCTAGATTGAATCATGCAAGTAATATGTTGGCTTATGCTAATGAACTATTATGATAGATCAAATTTTAAAGTCTTTATTGTCACTATCAGACAGTCAGGCAATGCAGTCTGGGATGATAAATCGACACAATCACAATATGGGATAAAAATGCAACGTGCCGGTTTCAGACGGCCGCATTGATTATATAAGCTGGCATCCACAAAATGTATATTTTGGAATTGATTTACTCAGTAAGATGGAACATTTTTCTTTGTTTCGAGGGAATAATCACACACTCCGGCTCACCCAATCAAGATGAGTTGCCATTCTCACCATTGTCTTGAAAGTTGTTTACATTAACCGAAAAAGGAGCACCCAAACCATAGAGATGACCACTTGAGTTCTCAATGTTGTCATCAAAGAAAATCTGAAATAAAAATACAAATAATTGTGTATATTGTTGTAAACAAGCAAAAGTTCAACCAATTAATAAATGGATGAAAAATGAACTCTTTAAGCATTAGCAAGTAATTTGTATTACCTCTTTAATCTTGAAGAAAGCCATACCAGTGAGATGTGAGTCGGAGCCTGCTTGATGTTGTGGTCCTACTCGCCTGAGTTCAAGCTGGTCTGCTACCTCTTGAAGTCCACCTTTCAGATTTTTACATAGTTTCATCAGATACTGTAAACAATATTATATGTTAAGAGAGAAAGCAATAGGTATAGAAAGCAATAAAAAATTGTTTATGGATAGGAAAATGAAATAGGTTTATTTAGTGACAGAAATGAGTATATTTAGAAAGGACTCACTTTAACATCATATACAGTTGGAAAATACAGCCTTAGGCTCTCGAAGAACTCATTTTCGTCATGTGGGAGATTTTGGTCAGTTAGTAATTTTAGTAGGTACCCAAAGTCATATCCTGAATGAAAACTGAGCCACTTGATATTGTCCATCAAAACAAGTCCTGTAATCAAACAAGTTAATAATAAAATCACGCATTATATACAGGGTGTCCCAAAACTCAACGTCAAGCGGTCACTGGGCGAGAGGCCAGGTTAGTAGCGTACTAAATGATAATAACCAATGATCAATAATAGAGCATCGGCGTCACTATCCGTCTCGCTCACTCTAATTCATGTCGCACAGCGTCACTATCCATCTCACTCTATCACATATGACCATCTCACTTCCGCGATGTTAAAGCCAATCTTTGAGCACACAAAAGTATTATTTATCATGGCATGAGTTTTTTTTGAAACGAGCTCCTTTTGCACAAAATAAATTATAATATTTTTTATGGAATGAAAAGTGGCAAGTATTGTACCATTTTGAAATCTTGATTATATGGGCCATCTTTTAAAATAACTTGCCCAGTGTAGTGTAGTACATTTAAAAAAAAAAATGAAGTGTCAAAGCTAGCCGACATATTTTTTTTAAGCTACGAAATCAATGAAACTTATTTTTTTTTACTAAACTCACAACGTTTATTGTTTGATTTGTGACTGCAATAAATAGCATGGTTATTTATGATGACGTTAAAAAAAATCACTCCAAAATTTGAAAATTTGTGATGACAGTACCTAAACATGTGGTCTAGAGTATCGATTTTCAACATTTTCAACAAAATGCCTATTATCACTTAACTAAGTGACATGGACTTTTTTTTTAATTTTTACCAGAACTGATATAACCTGGCCTCTCGCCCAGTGACCGCTTGACGTTGAGTTTTGGGACACCCTGTATATATAATACATAGTTCCAAAGAATAAAATCAATACCACGAATTTTTCGTTCATTGTGGAAATATGTGAAATGTCATGATTATAGACAGAGATGAAATAGTCTATTATATTATAGTGTTAAAATCCTGCTGAAATATTCTAATTATATAACATGCAATATATTAGAAGTAAATGCACAATTACCTGAAGACATGAGTAATTCAGCAAATTCTAAGGGTTCTATTCCATCTTCCTCATGTTTCCTAAACTGCAGTCCTGAGTTCTGAAGTAGATCTATGGAATCTTGGGCATACATGTCTTCTCTAGAAATATAATAAATAAGAAATTGAAGAATCAATAATTATAAGTTGGTATGCTAAAACCATAGTATTGATAATGATATTAAATGAAAATTAAAACAGACACTTACTGTAGATTGAATTTGAAATTGAATTGCCAAGTAGTATAGCCAGGTGGAGTTTTACCATTTTCATCCATGAAAGTTAGACCTAGCTGGATTATCCGTAAAAGATCTACATTACATCTGCAATAAATTATAAATTATTATGTCTATGGTGCAGACCAAATGAAAAATATACATATACTTAATCTATTACATTTCATGTTTTCACAGTCAGAAAAGGAAGTCTTGCAAACATTTCAAGTTAATAATAAAATAATTCATAAGATTTTAGTTTAAAATATATACAGGGTGTTTGTTAAGTCGACGTCAAGCCGGGATGGGGATGTCAAGGTCATGGCCTACAAAAAAGCCCATGGTACAATGGTAATATTCGCAACGGTTTTTTTAAATTAAAGATTTTATTCACATAACGCTTTTTACTTTGGATGCTCTGTACTCAGATATAATAAAATTGTCTTTTTCCGTCTTTCTTTTTCTTTGTATTATCTTAAATCAACCTGCTTTTTAATAAGCTAAGTATTAAAATAAATTCCTCACTAAAAGTTATTTTAAAAATATTGTATGAAAAAAAATATTTGTTTTAATAACTTGAACTAGTTGTGTTAAAAAAATTAAAATGTATGACACCGCATCAGTGCTTAATTGCAAAAACTTGTCTACTTATTAATCTAATTAATAAAAAAAATACGTATAGTCAAGAGCACATTAAGCTTGACACTTTGGACTTTGGACCATTCTTATTGCAAGCGGCATAGAGTTAAATTTAGTGTCAAGCTTGACGTGCTCTTGACCCTGTACCTATCTACTTTATTAATGGTTTTATTCAAAAGGTTTTTATATTTTAGAACAATAGCAATTATTTTACATTTTTCACAGTAAATGTTCAAAATGGTGGCTGCCGGCCTTAATACACAGTCTGCACAGCCTAATCATGGCATCATGGACTGCAGCTAGGTCGGACAGGTTTGCTGCGATTAGGGAGGGAGCGAGCACCGTACCGAACCGTACCCGTCGGTAGTCGGCCGGACGCGCAACCTGTCCGAAAAAATGTAATGTGTACAAAATCTTTAATTTAAATAATACCTTTGTGAATACTACCATAGTACCATAGGCTTTTTTGTAGGCTATGACCTCCTTGACATCCCCGTTTCGGTTTGACGTCGACTTAATAGACACCCTATACAATTCTTAAATTTCTAACAGGTGAAGTGATATAATGAAGTTTTATCTATCAATTTTTCAAAACAATGTAAGTATAAGGAAATGCCCACCTGAGTAACTGGTATTGATAATCAGCAGTAGATCTGAATTCTCCAATGGGTCTAGCTACGACTCCAGGGAATTCCGTGTCCATTGCCACCCAATGGTATTTTTGGACAATCTGTAAAAATACATATTTTTTTAATGTGAACTACTTGACATAAATAGCAGCATGATCTGGGACTAAGGAAGAGTTGAAGTAGGGAATAGTATGTTTAGTAGTGTGCAACAGATTAAATTGTTTTAGGTCTAGATGTTCTGTGCAATGCTTTGGGAATTAATTGAATCGGTTTGCCAGTACTTTCTCATAGTGCCTCAAGAATTATCACTATGAGAGTATAATTGTCAAGTAGCAGTATTTGTAGACTTATTACTTTAAAATGCAATCTTGTATTAAGGAGGCAGATCACATTTATACTGCACATTATGATGTTGTATTGTGCATGAAGATATGTTAGTAATGAAAAATTATTTGATTTTTGAAGGTAAATAAACAAAAGTTAAAACCTGTCTGATGATCTGAAATTCTTCATGGAGGTTGTGATTCCAAACATCTTTTATGCCACAATCTCCGTTTGCTGGTAGTTGGGAAATAGACCCAAAACTAGCTGCAGGCATCTGATAATAGAAAAAAGTGCATTTTTATAAACACAATGTTTGAATGTTATCATAATGTTGGAATACAAAAAAGGGAATTATGCCGAGTGGCAGTGGCGTAAACAATATTATGAAACTAGTTATTTTGAAATGTAGATAACGTTATCATAATAAGCATAGTTATTAATTAAACAATTGCATCTTAAGTAAAGGCATGGTTTTGTTGATAAACGCACACATTAACAAATTTACCTTGTATCTGTTGTCTGTTTCTTGATGAACAGTCTCTTCGTTTTTTTTCGACGCCGTGGTTTCAGATTTGTTTTGTTAAAGCTAAGAACGAAAAGCCACTACTCAAAAGTTTCGGTTAAATTTTAAAGATTGTTTTGTGATCACTATTACGAATGAAGTTCTTTTGATCTTTTTGAAACTTTGGATCACGAGTTGAACTCGAGATTAAATTAATTCCCTTTAATTTGTTTTATGATATGGTATCGAATTATGAAAATCGCGAGCAAGCTGAGCAAGCATTTGGTTTTGACAAGAATGTTACAACAAATGAATGAATGAATGAACGGTGAACGACAGATTGACTGAATGAAACTAGAGTCAAGTGAGTGAATAACTAATTTTCATTTCATTTCAAGACGTACATTTTCATAACACGTCACACTTATACATAAATAATGGAAAAAGTAAAGTAACACTAACACTTGTTTTGAAGTGTCATGACGTGTAAGCAAAGTAGACTTTTTTTCCATCCTATAGGCCGTTATGTCCTAAATTATGTCCACAGGCGTTTCATTACATTATCGCTGCAAAAAAGCGCGGGAAAGCTCGATTTAGGCGGGTTAGTTTTTTCGGCTTAGAAATTGAATATTTAATAATAATTGTAATTAGGTGGTCAGGAGTGTAGTATTTGTGTAAATACTATTTATTTGATTGTATATATTGTTTTTTGTGTAAATAATTATCGTCATCTGGTGAGTTTTATCATTTTTCCTTTTGCCTAAAATGGACGAGCCCCCTGATCCAGGGAGCCCAGTCCCCTCAGTTGGTAGAAACGTGTTTATAGTCTCCAATGATTCCAGTATGGTCACGGACCATACTGATAACTCTCTAAAAGGAAGAAAACGTATTCGGCAGCGTAAAATTTGCAAGTTTAACAGTACTACAGAAATTTTTTCGACGCCCCATCATCTTCCCCGGTCCAGCCTGTTGCTGCTCCCATACGGGGTAGGTATAGTTCTACGAATACTAATACTACCCAGGAAGACCAGGATTTGCCAGGCAGCCGATTGTTTGAGCATCAAGATATCTCTCCGTATGTAGTCCATGTACAAAGATTAACCAATTCCTTCAATGACGGAACCTCTATACACCCAGTTCACTTTGGCAATTTTCTTAAAAAGAATGGTTTTAAAGACATAATTAATGGTAGTGTGAAAAAGATTGACAGGAACAGAGTTTCCCTATCCTTCTTAGACTTCCAGAGCGCTAATTTTTTCTTGAATGGCACTAGTTTGGTAGCTAGCAATTACAAAGCTTTTATACCTACCTACAGCATTATCAGAATGGGCCTAGTTCGTGGAGTTCCTGCAGACCTAACTCCCGAAGAAGTAAAAGAAAGTATGTCAGTTCCTATTGGTTGTGGAGATATTGTTAAGGTAAGACGTTTGAACTATAAGGTGACTGTTGACAATCAAACTACGCGGAAACCGGGAGGGTTGTTGAAACTTTGATGAGCAAGTTTTACCAAAAAGAATATTTATGTTTTATAATGCTCTTCAAGTAGAATTGTTTATCTTTCCAACTGTCCAATGCTATAATTGTTGTCGGTATGGACATACTAAATTGCAATGCCGTTCTAAGCCTCGATGTTTTAAGTGTGGGCGGGATCACTCAGGTGAATAATGTTCTGGAGATGAAGGTGACGCTCAGTGCTGTCACTGTTCTGCGTCTCATTTAGCTACTAGCAAGTCATGTCCAGAATATGAGAGGCATAGGCGTATAAAAGTGTCTATGGCTGAAAATAGTATTTCTTATTCTGAAGCTTACAAACTTCATCCCGCAGTGACAAAGCCTTATGCTGATATTCTGGCTTCTCCACCTCCTCCACGTAGTTCTTTTACTTCCACTTCTCATAGTGCTACTCCATCATCTTCTAAAAAAACTGTGTTTTTAAAACCTAAAGACCCACCAAAGCAATGAACAGGCTATGATCAGAAAGCTCCCAATGAGTTTGCTAAGGAATATAATATGACCGATGAAAATTCTAGAGGAACAATGTTCAATTTTATTAATAATGAGGGTATTCAGAGTCGTATTCTAGAACTCTACTCTATGCTCAAGTCAGGATTTGAGCAGACTTGAGTATGATTTCAAGCACTGGAAATACGACCCTAATGGCAAGGACTTGAGTATGATTTCCAGTGTTCACTGCAATACTCAAGTCCTGACTTGAGTATTGAGTAGAGTTCTGGAATACGACACTTAGCCTTCCATAGCTGATATTATATTATCTTTGATAAATCTATTATCCCAGTCTAATATGATTGTACCGTCCAACGTTGCTTGCTTAACTCAAAGTTTAAATCAAAACTTTAACATTCACTCCCAACGCAACGGTAATACAGTGGAATTGCCGAAGCATAGTAAATAAAAAATCGGACTTAATATAATATATTGTAAATAAATTTAATCCTTTTATTATTTCTCTATCTGAGACCTGGCTTAGACCTGAGTTCAGGTTTAAGATCCCAGGTTATTCCTGACTTCGCGAAGACAGAACTGATGGGCATGGTGGTGTTGCCTTGCTCATTAGCAATTGTTATCCCTTTTCTTTAATTAATCTTCCTTCTCATAGTGATGACTATTCAGTCATTGCTGCTTCTGTAAATAATATTTGATTTGTTTCTATTTATGTACCTCATCCAACTACCTTAATATTAAATCAAATTAATAATCTGCTTTCTATTCTTCCCAAACCATATTTAGTCATGGGAGATTTTAATTATCAACATCAAGTATGGGGAAGCTCCTTATCAAATTGTTATGGAGATCAAATACTTGACATATTAGACACCAATAATCTTTCCTTATTGAACACTGGAACTCCTACTCGCATTACTGACCCCAACAACTCTGTTAGTGCTCAAAGGTCAATCCTTTCAATATGTTCTCCTAGTTTATCACTTTCCTTAACATGGCAGACCTTGACATCTACCTTTGGTAGTGATCACTTCCCCATAGTCATTACTTTTCTATTTCAGAGTAAAAAGAACTTGAAATACCTATTAAAAACAGTTATTCAAACCTTATCCCCTCCCCTGCCTGGTAGGATGAAGAATGTACTTCAGCTGTCAAAGGCGTAAAGAGGCTGAAGAACGATATCGATATAGTATGATTATCGAGAACTATGAGTCGCTCAAGTTAATTATGTCTGAAACAAAAAAGACTCTCAAAGAGAAGAAGTTTCAAAGCTGGCGTAGATTTTGTGATTCCATCAGTCCCAGTAGCAACTCTTCTGTTGTATGGAACATGATACGTCGTTTTAGATCTGCCATTAAAGATTCCCCTTTAAGAAACTTACCTCTTGATATTGCTGAACAGTTCATTGATAAGTTAGCCCCTCCGATAGCCCAACAACAAATAGTTCTTGGTAAAATTTTAGTTTCAAATGATGAATCAGGGTTAAGTTTGCCATTTTCGTTGAAAGAATTGAGAGGCGTTTTATCTAATACTGTAGACTCTGCTCCTGGTAGTGATGGATTTACTTATTCCCTTTTATCTAATTTGGATGATTCTGCCCTTTATTATTATTTAAAGTTGATTAACACATCCATGGTTTTTTTTAACAGGTGAAATTTCGCCATCTTGGAAAAGCCAGATAGTGTTACCAGTTTTGAAACTAAATAAAAATCCAACAGAAAGCTTATCTTACCGTCCCATTGCCTTGTCTTCTGCCTTAATCAAAACTGCTGAAAGTTTAGTGAAAACCCGGTTCGATTGGTATGTTGAACATAACAATTTGTTGCCCAATAATCAGTACGGATTTTGAAAAGGTAGAAGCACCTTGGACTGTCTCTCCATATTTACAACAGATATAAGATTAGCTTTTTCGATCGGTAATTCTATTTTAGCTGCCTTTTTAGACATAATTTCGGCATATGATAATGTTCTTTTTCCAATTTTGAAATCAAAATTAGATTGTTTAAAGGTTCCACCATTATTATCTAACTTCATCATAAATTTATTAAACAATAGAACTATTTATGTTATAATTGATGAATATTCTTTACAGAGGACAATAAATAAAGGTCTTCCGCAAGGATCTGTTTTGAGTCCCATACTGTACAACATCTACACTCATGATTACAGGTATTTAGGTAATGGAGTTTCTATTTTGCAATATGCTGACGATGTTCTTTTATATGTTGAACCTAATCTAAGTGACCAAGCCGTGAATGTACTATCAAATAAATTGACATTGTTAAAGTGCTGGCTAGATTCGAATGGCCTCGAGTTATCTGCTAGCAAAAGCTCCATTGTGTTTTTCTCAAGGCGTAAAGTTCATCCTGCAATAAATGTTTCTTTTAATAATAACATAATCCCTGTTGTTGGCGAGGTTAAATATCTTGGTATTCTTTTTGATTGTAACATGAATGGATCTCCTCATTGTGTTTATGTTGTTAATAAATGTGAAAAGGTTCTTAAATCTGGTGGGGCAGCCATTCGTACTCGTTAAAACTGATGTATAATGCTCTGATTAGGAGTATAATTGACTATGGATCTTGTACGCTAGAGCCATGTGGCTTGTCTAATCTTTAAAAGCTAGATAAGATTCAATCGAAGGCCCTCAGAATAATAACCGGTGTTATGAAATCAAGTCCGATAAATGCGATGCATGTGGAGTGCGTTGAACCTCCGCTTGCCCTTCGTCGACAGTTTCTAGCTGATAAATTCTTTTCCCGCATTATCCAATTTAATCGTCACCCTTTACTGCAAAAACTTGAGCTGTTAAACAATCTAATAAATACCCCTGGTTATTGGTCTCACAAAAGTACTCCTTGCCTTATAAATAGTTATAGAAAGTGTCTTACATTACAAGCTCCAACTCATAGTTTTGACATTCACCCACTATATGGTAGTAATTATGAATGCCTTATTTTGTCCCCTGACGTTTGTTTTGATTTTGGTGAAGTTAACAGACGTTTTGCTAACGCTTCCTTTAACTTTAGCTTAGATGGCATTCCTACAATCATATTTTCACTGATGCCTCTAAACTAGATAACTCGGCCGTAGGAGTGGGTGTTCTTCATTCTCAATATAATATTATTCAAAAAACAAAGCTTCCTCCTGAAACATGCGTTTTTACTGGTGAATGCGTAGGTCTTCTTAAGGCAGTTGAATACATTCTCTTTACAGAATTACATAAAACAATAATATTTTCTG